AGGCGTCAGCACCCGAGCCAGCTGCAAAGCCTGCCGCCAAGGCCACCAAGTGATACCAAGTGGGTCTAGGGTTAAGGGTGTAGGGTCAAGGCTTACTGTTTCGGGCTTAAGGTTTAGGATTCAGGGTTTGGGGGTTTAGATTATAGGATTTAGGGTTTGTAGGGTTCAGGGTGCTGTTGGCGGAACGGAACGCTTGACCTTAGGTAGTGTTGTGGAAAATGGGCAAGGTTTTGGGATGTTTTGGGAGTGTTCATTTGGTCATGTTGACCGTCTTGTTCATACATGTCCCATACTCTCCGTAAAAGTGAGTCCAGGACATGGACATACATGGTAGTTTAGGGGGACCCCAGAATAGACCCAAATATGTTATATTCAGAATTATAGGTACTCCGAGTTTTGGGAGCCCTCCCCCCCCCCCAAAAAAGCAGTCAGTAAGAAGGCTCTAAGCCCTAAACGCTCCACCCTAAACGCTAACTCCTCGACCCTACGAGGCGTTAAGTAACTCAGCCCTTCCTAGTCCGTTGGGTGGCTCCGGAAGGTAAGGTTGGGCTTTTGGAGTGAGAGCCTCAGACTTGGAATTCCTAGCTTCACTGGAACATTAAGGTTTAGGGTTTAGGGTTTATTTGGGTTTAGGAAAGTTCATTAACCCTCTCCTCTCAAAATCAAGGATTTTGGGCTTCTCCGGGCGGAATATCTCTTATCGGGTGGCATTATTAATATTCAGGGGACAGATTGCAGCCCAAACTTTTCCATAAATGAACCATCAACTTACCCTTCCACCAGCCAGAATGGAAGCCCACATAGACCCCTTTTCAACGGCAGTAGCCCTTCTGTTTCGGGGAGGGCTGTTGAAAACATTGGGCCTGGGGTGGGGCTGGAGTAGGACAAGCAGAGTCTTAACCCTAAACCCCAAGCCCTACATCGAGGGGCAGGTTCCTGACAGCCTGCTTCGTCATTTATAGTGATGTTTCCATGAAGTCGTTCAATGAACGTTCTCTCTCTTGGTCATAGGCACCGTTCCTCAAAACGTGGGATACTGCTCCCCTGTCCCACCTCACAGACCCGGAGCCCTTAAACCCTAGACTCTAGAGTCTAGACCTTGTCATGACCCAAAACTTGGGATGTGTGGCGCTTTGGGCTTATGGGCAGGGCCGGGTAGCCCAGCATATCTTGCTTTCCTGTACGAGCCTGACTGTAAATCCAACAAACCATCAGTTTTCACACCAACTACTCACAATCTTCAAGCGAGATGGTGAAAGTAAGGGTCTCTTGGATCTTGTTTAGGTCTGAGGGAAAACCACATGAAGGCTAGGAGGGATGTTATCCTAAAGCTAGCCAACTACACTGTACTGTCCGTAGGAGTTATCTTTCAATTCTTATTATAGTATAACCCTAACGAACTATTAACAATATGATTTTTATTATAGGTCTAAGGAAACAACAGTAAAGCCTCGGACGACAGCTTTCTGAACTAATCTGCGCGAAGACCTGCTTTCTGGTGGAACATGAATTGCCTCACCTGGCCTCATCGCAAAACATGGGTGTATAGAAACTTGTCCCAAAGTGCCAAAATGTGCCTTCCCCTCCCCTAAAGTACATAACTCGAATATAGTACCATTTTGAGGTGGGCGGGGGGGTATTTCTTGCTGTGGGTGGGGAGGTTTGTGATGAGGGGGAGAGGAGTACTTTAGCCAGACCAGGCTGCTGAATCCATAGTTTGTGTTGGCGAGCTTCCTCCTGACAACCCCGAACCCATACGGAACTTGGTGGTGGCTGAGCAAAAGAGCCCAGGTCACACGCAAACCTACGTAATTTAGGTGTACATCCAAATTAACGTCATATCCCACAACTATCTCGCAGACCTGTTCTCTCTAGATGGCCCTACCTAAATAATAGGGGTTTAGGGCCCAAATGGCCCAAATACTATTAATGTCGGTATTTGGGCCCTAAAACCCCATTATTTGGTCCTTATAGGGTCTGTATCCAGGCAGCACAAGCTGCAGCTCCACCGGCAAAGCCGGCGGCGCCAAAGCCGGCCGCGCCGAAGCCAGCGGCGCCGAAGCCAGCGGCGGCGAAGCCGGCGGCGGCGAAACCGGCGGCCCCAAAGGCTTCTACTGAACTGTAGGAGGTACCTAAAGGAACTTAGGTTTATAGTCCCCCTTAAGTAGATAGAATACGGCTTTGGATATATTATAATAAGATCCCCATAGACCCCATATTCTATCTACTTAATGGGGACTATAGGTGGAGGTGCTTGATTCAGGCTTCGGACCTTGGATTCTATCCATGCGTCTGTGTTACCCCTACAAGGTTTCATGGTAAGAGCCTTCCGGTGGGGTCGAGGACAAGGAAAGGATTTGACGATACAGCCTGGACCCGAGCTCCCAAGAACTCCGCAGTGACTTCTATTAGGGGCTATATGAGCTAGAGTCTAAACTCCTTAAAGGGGGATTATATAGGGGACTACTATAGGGGTAATTAAGGGGATACTAGGAGTTTAGACTATGGCTCATATATGGATATCTAGGGATAATGTACAGCCCTTAGAAGGAGGGGGTTTATTAATCAGGGGTCTACATTAAGCTTTACCGCTAGGACTACAACAATAAGCAACTCGCATTTCGTGTTTTGGTTTGAGGCCCTGAAGTCCACGTGAGCTATAGTCTACATTCCTTCGAGGGGGGGTGAAATAGGGTATTGTATAGGGGATTAATGCGGGGCTTTCACAGGAGACACTGGGGGTGAAGAGTATAGCCCAGGTCAATATGTGACCCCGCATGCTCCCGTTCCCAGTTCAGGTTTAGAATGTCGCTTGAAGGCTTATGTTAGAAGATATCCCAAAACTGAAGGTCTTGGTCTCCGGGTTCAAAGGTAGATCCCACATTGCCAAAAGCCGAATCACCTTAAACATAGCAGTTCTCGACTCTTTCGCCACCATAAAACCTCAAAAGCCATCTAGTCCTAGATAAGCTTCAACCCCCTTCCCAGTAACTGTGCTTAAAAGGGGTCTTCTCAAAGGGGGCTGTTACATAGACCTAACCCAGAACAGGCTTTTAAAAAACAAATATGCGCCCAAAAATCAAGGCTACCTAAATTTCCGCACGTCCTGACCCTTCAAACTCTGAAGCGCTCAAAGGCGCCAACGCAGGCACACGCTTCACAAAATCCGAAAAAATGAAAACACAAATTCACAGATTCGTTGCCTTGAACCACACATCCCTCACGCCCTCATTCTCACAAACCCGTAAGCCCGAAATGCCGTTAACGCCCCCAAAGCCCGTCAATGCAGGGAAAATCCGCCGGAAATCCCTAGACTTCCCAAGCCATCCAAGCCCAAAAGAGCCACAGTCGAAACTCCTTGAAGGGGGATCATATAGGGTTTTATGCGGATATGTAAGGTTTAGGGTTTATGCGAGAAATTGTCACACCTGACTTGTATTCTCTTCTACGTGTAGTGTGTACCTTGTATAGTGTATAGCGTTCACTACTGAAGCCCCTATAGGCACAAGCTGTGAGGAGAAAAGGTAGTGTTGTGCCCGTTTTGCATGGTAGCGGAGCTCCTGGTTGCCTAGTGGTGGCACAGGGCTCTCGCTAAACGGGATTAACACCGCTAGCTGCGTGTGTAGCAGCAGCGGGTGATACCGCAGTGCTAGTTGAGGCTAGCCTGCTGGACTCGAGGGAGGTTTGCCCAAAACCCTCGTAAAATAAGGCAAGCCGACGCCGAGCTGCGTGTGGAGCAGCCGTGCACCAGAAGCCACGGGAAAAGGTACTAAGGGTACCGGTGGCCAAAAGGGAAAAGGTACCAAGGGTACCAGTGGCCCGAAAGGAAAGGGTAAGACCCAGAAAGGGCAAGCAAAAGGCGGAGGAAAGGACTCAGAGAAACCTTCCTCTAGAGTCAGGAGTAAGGAAGCTGAGGAGCGGAGGATCCTTAGAGGATTCGCCAGGCGTGCGGAAAGGGCCCTCAACAGAGCCGACGAGGAGGTCGACCGTGAGGAGCAAACCGCGCCTGCAGCCAGCAGCCTTTCGGTCGAGGACGCCTTTCGTCTACATGCCCGACCTGCGGAAGGCCGAAGCTTAGGTTTCGGCACGTGGTTGGGCGAGGACGCTTGGGTGCCCAGTGAGCTGCCCTCCGTTGGAAACAACCAGACCTGGGACCGCCTGAGAAGAGAGTACCCAGGCCTCTCAGCAATAGCAGCTGAGAACCGGGCAGGTCAGCGCGAGAAAGCTACCTGCGAGAAGTGGCCGCATCGAGAGTGCGGACGGGGCTGGGCCAGTTGGCGCGTACGAGCAGAAGGGCCAACTCTGGAAGCTCATCTGGAGGCGAGGCAAGCGACGAAGACCAGACTGAGGACAAAGGAGACCCGTGGGTGATCCCGCCTACTTCGGCGCACCGAGCCTGCAGTGTCAGTGAGCTCGCGGACCCTCACACACCAACCTACATCCGTGTGGGTGTCAGAAAGTGAGGGCGAGGAAGAGGTCAAGGAAGAGAAGACAAAGGACGAGCTGCGATCTGACTGGAGTGACTCAGGTCGTCGAAGCTCTTCGTCAAAGACTCTACGCGGAGACCAACCACCGCCAGAGCCTGCAGAGCCACCCAGGTCCAAGGCAAAGTCTTCAGCGGGATCCTTGGTGTTGGAGAGCAGGGCCTCTTCAATTGGCTGGCACCGACAGAGTTCGGCCAGCAGCAGCAGCCGAGGACCCGAAAGGCCACCCGGGCAGTGGCAAGGCGACCAAAGAGATCGACAAGACTGGCATCGAAGACAGGAAGAAGCCAGGAGACAGGAGGAGAACCGCTTGTGGAGCGAGTGGTACAGATCGCACGGCAGCAGCGGGTGGCAGCAGTACGGAGGAGGTTGGCGCTACCCAGGTGGATCTGGATATCACCAGTAAGACGCGGGTGACACCGCCGAGTGTTTTGCAGTAGCTTAGGTTGCTGCCGAACTCGGCATAGTGCACCTGTAAAGTTTTTCTGCGCAGCAAAGAAAAGTTTTTTTGGAACAATGTCGGCTACCCTGGAGGGGTTGGCCGCACAAATTCAAGAGCTGACTCAGGGCCTGCAAAGAGCCAACATAGCCTATGAGCAGCAGCAAAAGAGGGCAGCAGAGGCCGAAGCTAGATTGGCAGCAGCCGAAAATGTTATACAAGGACAACAAGCAGCAGCAGCGGCAGCAGCAACAACAGCAAGCACTGAAAAGAAAGAAAAGGATTTGATTCACCCTAGCCATGTCCCGAAACAACACACGTTCAACGGCAAGAAAGAAGAGTGGGAAAAGTTCAAGCATGTGTTTGTAGCATGGTCTAGCACAGTGCATGAAAGGTACCCTGAGCTTTTGGAAAGGTTTGGTAGCAGCAAGGACCCGGTGGATGAGACCGCATTCACCTCTGAGGAGAGTCGTTTAGCTAAGGCTATGTACACGTTTCTCATTCAGTACTGTCCTGAGCCTACCATGAATGTCATAGGACAAGGGCTTAGGGATGCCAATGGGTTTGAGGTTTGGAGAAGACTGGTTCTTTTGAGTGAGCCAGCTCACCGGACCAAGGCGTGGGTTTGGAGAAGACACCTAGCAAATCCTACCTTCCCAAGTGACATCTCGCAGTGGAGCACAGCACTCCATCAGTGGGAAGCTGAGCTTAGGGAGTTTGAGCGTACATACAAAACTGTTTTCTCACAAGATGAGAAGGTGTCGATCTTAGCCCATGTTGCGCCCAAAGAGTTGCAGCAAAGCATTTTCATGCACAGTGATGCCTTGGACAGTTATGAGAAGGTTAGGGAGTATGTCGAACAATATTTGATCAACCGCAACCTGTGGAAGAGACCTCAAGGGTCACAGTTCGGACTCACCAAGGTGACCAACAACGCGGCAGAAAATCCGTATGACGATGGAGGCCCTAGGCCTATGGACATTGGCGGCGTCAAGGGTGAGAAAGGAAAAGGAAAAGACGGGAAACGAGAAGGAAAAGGGAAAGACGGTTGGAACAACAAAGGAAAGGAGAAAGGAAAGTGGAGCAACAAAGGAAGTTGGGACAACAAAGACCACAAAGGAAAAGGGAAAGATGGAAAGAAAGGAAAGGAAGGAAAAGGAAAGTCGTCGGACAGCAAAGGAGGTAAAGGAAAGCAACAGGAAGGAAAAGGAAAAGGCAGCAATCCACATGCTGGAAAACAGTGCCACATATGCCACAGACATGGACGCATCGCAGCTGATTGCTGGTGGAAACTTGGTGCGGTGGACAACGAAGCGGCAACAGACACAGGAGGGACAGGTGGTTCAAGCGGCACCAAGGAGCAGGCCAGCGGCAGCACAGCGGTGGGTTCAGTGTTTGAGGGTGCGCAGCGCATTGTCAAGTGGAGTGATGAGGATGTGATTTTCACAATTGGTGACAGTGTGGTGTCTGCAGTTGGGCCAGAACAGCTTGGTTGCAGGTACCTGTTGGTTGACTCAGGAGCATGTGAGAGTGTTGCCAAGAAGGGTGACTTCAAAGCAGAAGTTGACAGTTCCAAAGCCAAACCACTTTTCAGTGTTCAAGGCACA